ATGAACAAAGGACAGTCACTGAATTTTCAGTAGGTGAGTGACATGATTAAATTTAATTAAAAAAAAGTTTTGGCAGTACTGGGGATCAAACCCAGAGCCTGATGCATCCTAGGCAAGCTCTGAGCCACTAAGCCACAGTCCCCATCCCATGAACTTTAATTTTAAGAAGGGGGGGCCAGGCATGGGGTGCATACATGTCTATAATCCTAGCAACTCAGGAGGCAGAGATCGAGAAGCCAGCCTGGCAAAAAGTTACCCAGACCCCCATCTCAATCAATAAGCTGGTCATGGTGGTTTGTGTGTGTAGGACCAGCTATTCAGGAGGCATAGGTAGAAGGATTTTAGTTCAAAGCAAAAACTTGAAATCCTACCTGAAAAATTACTATAGCAAAAAAAGGGCTGGAGGTGTGACTCAGGTGGTAGAGCATCTGCCTACCAAGCACAAGGACTGGAGTTCAAATCCTAGTGCTGAAAATAAATAAATAAGTAAATAAATAAATAAAACGATGTTAAAAGTGAAAGCAATGGAACTAGGTGAGCACTAAAGCCCTTCCTCTCACAGATGAGGTCCAGGACTGTAAGGGCTTTGTCTTAAAATAAAAACTTCCTGACCACTAATCTAATTCATTTTTTGTGATTTCTAAACTTTAAATTTGGTTGGTTTATAAACCCTCTGAGAATAGGTGCATTGAGGAATGGAGCTCTCTAAGAGAACAGCCAGAATATGTGTGAAGGGGTGGCAAGAACTTAAGGTGACTGGACTTCAGCTGCACACAGGAAACTAAAGTGCTAAACTGGTTCCACTCCACTGCAGCTCCAATTTAACCCTGGGACTGAAACAAGGAGTATCCAGATCTGGCTGTTAGACAAAGGGAGGGCAAGGACAGCTTGAACAGGAAAGAGAAGCAGCACAATCCGACAGATGGAGTTAGACTGGATGTGTGTTACGCATTACGTTATGTATGGAAGAAGCCACACTTTCATTTGTCACATCTCTTCACCAATTTTTCAGTTGGTTGTTTGGAACCTGCAATGTATTTGACAAAGAAATGTTATTAAACAACAACAAAAAAAAGTGGTTTGTTTCCAAAATCATCCTCCAAGAACCTGTATGAATCTCATCATGGGCTGAAATTACTACATATTTTCAACAGGAACTATGTGTAAATATTTTTGTAACATTAATAAAGAAAACAGAAAAGTCAAACCATTTATTGTGGTTTCATTTTAATGAAATACATTCAATTAGAAGAGAATATGGAACTAAAGATTGTAGAGTGTATGAATTACTTCTAAATACTTTCAAGGTCATTTGAGGTTAAGGGCACTGGTTCACAAATAGATGAGAAAAGGAAGGAAAGTATGAGCTCTGTGTGTGTGTGTTTAATGGAGACACTAAAACTAGTGATTACCAGGGGAGTGGATGGGTTAGGCTGGAAAAATCCAGGAGTGCAAAGTAAAGAGGGAAAGTGTTCAGCTGTCAGGACACGGATCATTAATCTAGATTCCAGGAGATTCAGCTGGAAATGAGTCCAGAAAAGAGATCCCAGGCAGTGAAGTCCAAAGAGAAAGGTAGGACAAATGTTCAAAGCAGGGGCAAGGATTCAAGGTTATGAATTTCCACACTCGAAGAGGCAGGAGTCCAAATCAGAGGTGGCCAGAAGAGGTGTAAATGGAAGGCTCTCGCTTGAGCCTGAACCCAGGGAACTCAGGGTCCAGATTTACAGACAGACCCAAGACATTTTAGATTCCTTAGTTTCTGGGCCTGGATTGGTTCCAGGCTGTAGGTGGAGGGTGTGTAGAGGAGAGGACAGAGGGGAAGAACCAGGCCAAAACTGGAGAGTTGAATCAGAGTTAGAGAATAATAGAAGGAATCAGGTCTAAGGCTGTATCAGACCCACAGGAACACTGAGAGCCCCTCAGCAAAACTGGCCCCACAGAAGGCAAATCCTGATGGAGAAGAAGGTGCTGAGGATCTCTGACCACCACCAGGGGGCACCTCCAGTTCCAGGACAGCTTTGTTGATTTCCAGGACCTAGCAGTGTTGTAGATGAAGACAGAGTAGCCTCCAGTTGGGGTGGGGGTGGTTTCACCAGCACTCAGACATACAACTGTGACTACCTAGCAGCCAATTTTTCTCACCATTCTGCTTCCTGGTATTGTTAGCAACCTATTATTACTAGGCTGGCTAGTAGTGACAATTGAGAGGTCAAATAAGGTTAGATGATGATAAAAGATAAAGACAAGGATGACAAAACAAATGGGAAAGAAGAAAAAAGGTGGGCAAAGAAGAGTCAAGATGGGGGGGGGGAGAGGCGGAAGAAATCAGGAGGATCACTGTGCCCAGGCAAATAGTTCAAAAATGCCACACACACACACACACACACACAGAGAGAGAGAGAGAGAGAGAAAGAGAGAGAAAGAGAGAGAGTGCTAGTGGAGTGGCTCAATGGTAGAGTGCCTGCTTAGGAAGCATGAGTCCCTGAGTTAAAACCCAGAACCATCACCACCAAAAAATTAGGGTTTGATGGATCAGGTACGAATAAAGAAAAGAAGTAGCACTTTAAAAAATGAAAAAAGAAGAAGAAAAAGTGTGGAAATTCAAACTATCTTTGAGGAAATGAAGATAGAAAAAGTTGGGGTGGGGGTTTGGCTCAAGTGGTAGAGGCCTGTCTAGCAAGCGTGAGGCCCTAGTTCAAATCTCTGTGCCTCCAAAAGAAAAAAAAGGCCAGAAAACTTTTTTTTTTTTTTAACCCCCATGGTATTGGAGTTTAAACTAAGGGCTCACGCTTGCTAGGCAGGCAGTCTACCCCTTAAGCCACTCCACCAGTCCCAGAAAAATTTAGGTGGTGTGATGAATTCCATAGTGGCCATCTATTTTTCTTGACAGTACTGGAGTTTGAACTCAGGGCCTCACACTTGGTAGGCTAGTAGGCAGGCACTTTACTGGTTGAGCCACTCCACCAGCCCTGTCTTATATTGAGTTTTTTTGAAATAGGATCTTCTAAACTATTTCCCTTGGCAGGGCTTTGAGCCGTGATCCTCCTGATTACAGGCATGAGCCACCAGTACCCAGCTCACATCCCATTTATTATTGCAACATCTAGAGGAGCTGAGCTTTATAAACATATGAAGACACAGCCTTTGTTTTTTGGTAGTATTTAGATGTGTGCTTACATTTGGGGAGGGGACAGAAAACAGAGAGAGCAATGTAAGAGTGTAAGAAGATCTGATATTAGCTGACTTACAAAAGACACACTTGAATACGAATTTAGGAATTTTTTTTTTTGAGTGGGACTGGGGTTTGAACTCAAGTCTTTCCACTTGCAAAGCAGACACTCTATTACTTGAGTCTCACCTCCACTTCATTTTGATTTTTTTTTTGGTGGCACTGGGGTTTGAACTCAGGGCCTCAGCTTCCAGGCAGGCAAGCACTCTACCTCTTGAGTCACTCCGTCAGCCCTTTTTGAGTTGGGTATTTTCCAGAAAGGGTCTTGCAAACTATTTGCCTTGAATGGCTTCAAACCTGGATCCTCCTGATCTCTGCCTTCTGAGTAGCTAGGATTACAGGTGTGAGCCTCCGGTGCCCACCCTGATTTTTAAAGAATTTTTAATGTTTCTAAATGCTGCCTTATAAACACACGACAGGTTATTAAAATGATCAGAATGGGGGGGCGGGCACGAGAATTACTCAGGCAACCCACTCCCAAACCGATCACGTTAATTCATTACTCATGTTTGCCATTCTCTCCAGATTTTATACTGTTTTAAGGTAGAAGAGATCTTTAAGCACAGTACTCTTTGTGGGGGGACCTGTTACTCAGTAAGTACCTGACTAACTTGGAGTGCAACAGGGCTGGTATTTCCTGTCCTAGAAGTAGACTGGCGGACCCAGCGAAGGCCCTGGGAGCTTTGAGCACAATGCAGTTCTAAATGCCTAAGTGCAATGACCAGTACATATAGCTGGGCATTCATTTGCCGTTTTTTCCAAACTTCTAGGCTGTGTTTGCGGTGACTCTCCTCTTCTGGTTTAGAAGAATTCCAACGTCCCAGACAGCAGTTAACATTTCTAAAGCCCAGGCCTCAGCACCTTCCTCTCGGAGCACATTCCCTCAGCCAGGGAGTGCAGGTCTCCACCCCCAGCCGAGCACTCGTCCCAGATTCTCCAGCCTTTCCCCATCCCCCAGCCTCCTAACCACATTGTGCGCACTCGGGCAGGCAGCTCTGCCACAGTGAGGGCAGTCGCCGGGCTCCAAGCCCGTCTTCTCTAGGGCGGTCGCACGTGTCCATTCCCTGGGGTGGGGGAGCGCTCTTCCTGCTTGGCCGCTGATTGGTGCCTCCCCCTACCCCACCCTTCCCGCCGCACTCCGGCCTCCATCTCACTTGGTTCTAGCTTAACCAGCCCCACCACCTTCTTCCCTCGGAGAAAAGGAGTCACTTTGGAGCCCCTTGAAGTACCCTTCTTGGATGGAATAAAAGCGCTGTAGAACAGGTGGAAAACACTTCGATTTCCCAGGCCTGTTTCCCGGGTGGACAGCCTACTGTCCCTCCTGTACCACCCTCTGCATCAATAATAACTCAACTCCCACACGTGCACGTTTCGAGATCTCTCCCCTACCGAAAGCACCACCCAGCGGGCCCTTTAAAAGGACGCGACCACTGAGGCCAAGTGGGGGGGGGTGGGAGAGACCCTTATTGTCCTCCCTCAGGAAAGTCACTAAAATCCTCAGCCTCAAACACCTGGACAGCGGAGCACATCTCCTTCCAGCTCACTGGGGTGCCCCAACCACCCCCCTTCAAGTCACTCCGGTCTTCAACGGGGCGCTCCGTTCCCTCTCCCCTCCCCCTCCCTCCCAGTGCAGCTGTCCGGGCTGGGGGTGGGGGCGGGGTTGTTGTTGTGGTGAGGGCCGGCCCCGCCCCCTCCTCGTGGGCGGCCCCTCCCCCAGGCCTCCGTCGGTCCCCTCCCCGCCCCCAGCCCCATCTGTTTTCCCCAGCGGTGAGTGGATTATATTGTATGGGACTGACTGGGGGCGGCCGCACCGCCGCCGCGGGATGGGGCGAGCGCGCGGACCCCGCCGGCAGCCGGAGCCGCGGCCGCCTCAGTGAGTCGGGCCCCCGCCGCCCCCGCCCGGCCGCGCGCCTCAGCTCCTGCTCACGCCGAGCAGCGGCCGCCGCGGGAGTAGCAGCCGCCGCGGCGCCGCCGCCGCCGCCGCCGCCGCCGGAGGAGCGAGGCGCTGAGGCGCTGCCCGCGGCGGGAGTCCGAGTCAGCCAGCCAGCCGAGCGCCGGCAGCCGGGGCCGCCGCCGCGCGGCGGGGAGATGTGCCCGGAGGAGGGCGGCGCGGCCGGGCTGGGCGAGCTCCGCTCCTGGTGGGAAGTCCCGGCCATCGCGCACTTCTGCTCGCTGTTTCGCACCGCGTTCCGCCTGCCCGATTTCGAGATCGAGGTGAGTGGCCGCGGCGTGTGGCGCCCTTTCTCCTCGGGACGTCGGGGGCGTCGTGCGGGAGGGAGCGGGGCGCGGGGGACTTCGCGCGGAGTCAGGACGGGGAGGAGGGCTCGGCGGCGGGCACGAGGCGCCGCCGCGGTCCGCACCCCGCGTCGCTCGCTGGCTCGCTCGTCGCGTCCGGCCGGGACGTCCGCGCGCGGTCCGCGGAGGCGACCAAAGGCGCGGGCAAGCCTGCTTTTGTCGGGGTGGGACGGGGCGGCTCTCCCGGGACTTCTCCAGGGCTGAAGGCGAGAGTGCGTGTGCGCGCTCCCCGCCGGTGCCTTTGAGGCGGGGAACAGCTGCTCGGGCGGGGACGCGCAGGGGGTGACCCGGACCCGGCGCGGGGCCCCGCAACTCTCGGGGCGATTTGGGCTAACTTCGGGCGGGCGGAGATGGCGCCTGGGCTCCCGGCGCTCTCTTTGGGGGTCCGCCCGGCGCCGACCTCGCTGGGGTCTCCGAGGCTGCGGAGGGAAAGTTGGACTCCGTTATTCTTTAACAGCTCCCTTCCTCCCGGAACGTACAGCTCTCTTTATTCCGGGAGCTCCTGGAGTTGGTTCCGCCACCATTATCTCCCCCCCACCCCCCGGTCGAGCGTGGAGGAAAGGGATGGCTTTCCTGGCCAGGCCGAGGATGCTTTCAGGCTTTGTGAGAACTGCACTAAGACCCGAGGGTCCTGTTAGTGGCTGGGACAGTGGCGGGAGTGAGGGAAACGGAACGCACACGTTGACCACAACGAGCAGCAGCATCCTCCTTCCTTTTATTTTTATTTTTGGAAGGAGGTGTGAAATATTTGATTGGTTGGCAGGTTGAATTGCTTTCTTTCCTATGGCAGTCTGTGTAGCGACTTACCACCTTTTGCCTTGGGACAAAGGTTCTGGGAACTCTTGGTCGGTTTTTGTTTTCAGTTCTGAGGATGGGTTCGCAGATTAGGTAATCAAAATTAAAATCACTCCTTTGGAGTTGCTAATCGTTGTGGTTGCCTTCCCACTCCCACGTATCTCACTTTCTGCCATTTTCGGGGTGATTTTAATCCGTTTACTCCTGATGTCTTTGCCTCACCTTTATTTTTAGATTGAGCTCTTTGCTGAAATATCATTGCTTTCTCTCATGAATGAAGTGTGGGTCCTTGCTCTTCTAGTAGAGTAAATGAAATAAAAAGATCAAAAGCTCTGGAATGGGAAATTGAACAGGAATGAGGACTGATAAACTAGGGCCACTCATTGACTTTTGGCAATTCTTAGTTGCTTTATTTGATTAAAACAATGTGATTAAGTTGCAGGTTTCCTTACGAGACACCACAGCGTTTGTTTTCAAAGTTTGAACGTGAACGTAACAAACATTTTCATAATGAAATTTTTTCGTTGAACAACTATTTATATATAAAGATTTGGGAATCCTGAAAGTCAAGAGATGCTTAACAGTTATTCTGATGTCCTGAGTTTCCTTTTAGTTGGTATAAGATCGTGGTTAGTCTAATTAAATCCTGCTGCTCAAAATGGTGGCCTTTGTGGGAGGTGTTGCTTGTGACAGTGCCATCTTGGGTGCTGGTAAACTTGCCCTCTAGCCCCTGTTCTTCCTTGCAAGAGAAAAGCTGAGGGGATGATGGATTACAGAGTCAGAGTTTAAAGAACCATTCTAAAAATCCTACTGCAAAATGTCCCTGAATCTTTGCATTCCCATTTTGTTGATGGAAAAGTAAAGGAAACACAGTGCCTTATGTATTCACATATTTAGAGTAATCTGCAAATGACTTGCCTTCCATCCTAGGAAGTAAGCTTGTGGCTTCTTATTGTTAGCTGACTTAATTCCTAAAAGAAATGTAAGCTGTTAGACGATACACACTTAAATCTGTAAGAGAAATGAAAAATTACTGTAGTTTACATGGTGAAATGACTGCCTTCTGATTCTAGGAAGTGATACTTTTTAAAAAAATATACGCTCTTTGACAAACATGCAGCACAGATGAATATTTAGGTTCTAACATATACGAATTTTAAGTAGTACCTACACTATTTTCCCCTTTGGAGATGTTAAGTAAATGGCTAACATGACAATGACTTTTTTTCCCCTGCAGATTCAGGGTTGAACTGAATTCTGGGCCTCTATCTTGCTTAGGCAGGTGCTCTACTTTTGAGCCACTCCACCAGACACTCCTGAAAGTTCTTGTATAATCCATCTCATGTTAGGTGTGTTTTGATGTGGCTAAATTTTAATTTAAGGTTTTCAGTAGTTATCAAAAGTTAAAATCTAAAACTATTCTAGGCATCTTAACAAATTTAACAGTGCAGAACTCCCTGAAGACACTTAATCAGTTTTGATTCACTATAAATAAGTTAATTTATTTTCATTTTTTAAAGGCGATTTTAAGAAATCAAATAGTTTATTGACCTGACATTGAGAAACAATTCCTTGGTTTCAGCAACTTCCAGTGCTGAGTTGTACGTTCTAGGCCATGGGAAAAGGCCTTGCAATCTTAATTTACCTCCTCTTTAAAAGATAGAAACGATGAATACTACTAAATGGTAGGAGTTAGATATCTTTTTTTTTTTTTTTTTTTAAGAAAACCAGTTTTTACCTGTGAGAAGATCACATTTTACCCTTGACCACCAGACTGAATCCATGGATTGGCAGAAAATTTAGAAAGAATCTTCAAGGACTTGGTTTCTCTTTATCTAATATGTAGCAGTCTTTTAGGTGGTTGAAGGGCAGGGAGGATTCATGCCACAATAAGAGGTTTAGACCTCCCACTTAGAGAACTGGTCCCTCAAAGTGAGGATATTTTTAGTTTTGCATGTAAAAAAAATCTTTTTACTCTTGTTTGTCAACTTTGAACATAAAGGATTTTTTTGAGTCAACGTTCCTTTTTTTTTTTTTTTTTTTCTTTGTGGTTCTAGGGAGGCACAGTATTTCCAGGCAGTCCCTCCCTAGCTCCTTAACTTCTCATTTTATATGTGTAAGGACTTATGTGTTGCTGTCCCTAGAATCATGGAACCAAAAATATGAGTGTACGATAATAATGCTTTATTTAAATTCTTCAAAACTTGTGATTTAAAAAATATATGAACATTACATAAAACTTGAAAATTACAGCAGAATACAGATAAAAGAATTAAAATACCCATAATCACCATCCAGGTACAAAAGCTATAAGCTTTTAACATTGTATCGTACCATTGGGGTAAAACTATTAACTGTTAACATATTTAGAAATCCCTAAATATGTTCACAATGTATTTGTGCAGTAGATTAGGCATTTTTATTTTTCAGAGGAGACGTAGGTGTAGTTGGACAGTTCAGTGACACTGAGTTCAGTAGTTGCATCATTAAGACCTCCTCTGTGCTTTACATGAAAGTGGGCCTCTGCATCAGATTAGCTGTTAACAGTTCAGAACCTGCAATTGTGTACCACTTCATTTAATCAAACATTTTCCTAATTGTTCAGTACTCTAGTGATTAGGTTGGTTAAGTTTTGTTCTGATTGGAAACAAAGGTTAATTGCCAAAGATTTAGCACTTTGCCCTATTCAAGTGCTCTTTACAGTGAATATAGTGTTCAACTTGACTAAAATACAAGGTAAGAGGAGAGAATGTTTTTCAGTAATCTGATTTGAGGTTAATCATGATGGGTGTGGGGCTGCACCTCCAAGTAGCTGTTTGGAAATGTTCATGTAGAACTACTTGAATAGTTTGTGTGTAGTAGCAGCCTAGGGATGAGTGATAGGAGATTTTGAGTTGGTGTACATGTCATATTCTTTGCTGGGGGTGGGGAGTAACACGTCCATCAAATTCTAAAAGAGGTCCTCAACCACTCAAAGGTTAAGAGACTTCAACTATAGGAAGTTGGCCCTGATTTAGGGAATCAGAAGCATCATTTCATGATTTCATGACCTTATATGCAAAATAACAAGATAAATGACATTTATCTGTACATTTATTTACAGATCTGTATATTTATTTGTACATTTTCAAAATGTCAGGTTATCCTTAGCTGCTCTTAACTGTTATCATGAAGGTAGGGGCTATCATTTTATAGATCTGGAGATTGAAAGTTTGGAGAGGCTGAGTTTGCATAGGAACTCTTGCCTGAGTCTCAGGTGTTTTCATACCAGATGCTGCTACTACCTCACAATTTTTGCATTAGTTTTCATTTTCTATAAAATGGCAGCCTAGACTTACAAGAATGGCTGAGATTCCACAGCGCAGGTTTAGAATTCTTTGGTTCAGAAGATCCTTTTCTAGTGTGTTTTGTTTTATTTTGTTCCAGTAGTACATGCTTGCTAGACAGGCGCTCTATCACTGCCCCAGTCCCTGAACAGCTAAACTATGGAATTAGCCTAGGTGTCCATCAACTGATGAATGGATAAAGAAAATGTATTTATACACAGTGAAATATTAAATAAGAAAATGGATGGAATTGGAAATCATCATGGTAAGTGAAATAAGCCAGACTGAGATAGACAAATATTTCATGCTTTCTCTTATAGGTGGAATTTAGGCCTAAAAAAAAAAAAAGAATGCCATGATATTAAAACGGAGATTATTTGGAGGTAGGAACCTAGGAACCAGTGGAGGGGGGAAGGTGAAGAGGGTGAATATATACTTCATATGCTTGTATTAAAATAGAATAATGAAGCCCCACAAAATTGTTTTGAAAAGAGGGAAAAGGAGATAAGAAAGAGTAGTAGAATAATCTGATCAAAGTACCTTGTTTGCATGGATGGGACTACCACAGTGAAACCCCGTTGTACAATTAATACACACTAATAAAAATGAAAAAATCTTTCTGCTGAACTAAATGCAGAGGAGTGACAAGTTCATGTTTCTTTCAGCAATTATAAAGCACATACTGTGTGTTTGGTAGGGTACTAGGTGTTGGGGGTATAACTTTGAACATAACACAAAAATACCTGCCCTGTTTTTAGTGGAATGAGACAGACAATAAACAATCAGTATTTACTGGAT